CTCGTTCATTCTAACTCGTTACGGTTTCTGTCAGTTTATTCTCATGACGTTTTATTTACAATGTGGCCACTTCCAAAATGAATATTCATCGAGTTATTTCGGTTTTAAGTTAACACGAAGAATCTACACTGAGAGTGTTAACGGTATCTGCCGGTAGCTTTAGTATCTGCGGCACGTTGAACATAGTATCTCTATATACATACATACATACATACATACATACATATATACATACATACATACATACATACATACATACATACATACATACATACATACATATATATATATATATATATATATATATATATATATATATATATATAAAGACATATATGTAAGTTCAGAACGATCTTAGACAGCTTTCGTTCTGTCTAGCAGCATAAGCAAGTAAACTGCGAAAACGAAGAGACGAACGTCGAAAGAGGAACGTTTTGAAAGAGAAATCGTTCGTCATTGAAAAAGATAAACATTTTCTTGCTTATCCATCGTTCGATTTTTATTTACATATAATTATATTATTTTCAACACATCGTGCATACATAAAGGTAAATTTAGATTTATGTATGTACGTATATATGTATGTATGAATGTAAGTATGAATGTATGTATGTAAGAATGTATGTATGTATGTATGTATGTATGTATGTATGTATGTATGTATGTATGTATGTATGTATGTATGTATGTATGTATGTATGTATGTATGTATGTATGTATGTATGTATGTATGTATGTATGTATGTATGTATGTATGTATGTATGTATGTATGTATGTATGTATGTATGTATGTATGTATGTATGTATGTATGTATGTATGTATGTATATATGTATGTACATATCTAAAATTCATATCTATACGTTTTATCACACGTGCAAATTCAATGTAATTCAAATAAGGAATCTACTGAGAGGGAGAGAGAGAGAGAAAGAGAACCGGACTGTTCTCTATTTTTTTCTGGATAGTTCTGCAAATGTCAACGGTACCATGTACTTGTTTACAGTAGTTTAGAATTTTCCTAAAAATGCCTAAATCTCTAACGGATTATTAACATGGCGAGCTTCTAACTACAGTAACGGAGTTTAAGTGGCCAACAATGAAACGAGATATAATATACAATGACAATATTTATACCTATTTTATTACTATTCTTTTTTCTTTCTTTCTTTCTTTCTTTCTATTTCTATTTCTCCTCTCCTCTCCTCTATCCCCTCTTAATACCCACCCAAATACTATTCTGTTATTAACACGTTGAAGAAACAACGTATGAATAATATTCTATTTTTGAATTTTTAAATTGATGTTAGAAAAATAAGTTAGTGTTATGTACAAAAAGTTGTTATTGGAACGATCTGAAAGAAAATAAATGATTATCTAAATTTGTCTAAATTTTTATATAAAAATAAAAGGAAAATAGAAAAAAAAAAAAATAAATAAAAAGAAAAAAAAAATAATGAAATATAAATATCTTATATGAAATGAATATTAAAAATGACAACTTTATTGTATATAATATGTATTACATATTTTGTATATAATATGCATATATTAAAAATGATAACTTTTTTTCGTATAAAACATATAATAAATATTTTGCATTAAAATATATAATAAAACTGGTAACATTTTTCGTATGAAATATATTATACGTATTTTGGATTAAAATGTACATATATTAAAGGTGAACTAAACTATTTTTTTTTTTTTTCGTATAAAAACATATTACAAATTATATTTTAAATAAAATCTACTGATATTCAAAATGATAACTCCATTCGTATAAAATATATTATATACGTATTTTGCATAAAACAAAAATGAAAAAAAAAAATGAAAAAAAAAGAAAAAGAAAAAAAACGAAAAGAAAAAAGAAAAAAGGACAAAAAGTAGTAACTTCTCGTTCTAAAAAAAAAATATATATATATATATATATATATATATATATATATGTATGTTATAAATATTTTTTGATAAAATCTTTTTCTCTCTTATAAACTTTTCAAATGCCTTGCAAAAATGGTGGAACATTTTAGTTTAGTCTAAAGAGAATTTTGGCTGGCACACGGTTAAGATGGAGGTAAAAGAAGAAGAAGAAGAAGAAGAAGAAGAAAAGGAAGACGAAGACGAAGAAGAAGAAGAAGAGGAAGACGAAGAAGAAGACGAAGAGGAAGACGAAGAAGAAGATAAAGTTGGTGGGGGAAGAAGTAGAGGAGAGGAAGGGAACGGAGTGGCAGGTACACGAAACTCGTATTTTCTTCCTCCTTTTTCTTCCTCTTTTTCCACGGCATGCGTCGATGACGCATGGACCGGCTCCGACTTGCCGATCACGTTCTTTTTAAGCACCGAATTATACGCGAAAGCGAAGGATAAGGCGAATCACGGCGCCGTCCACACGATGGACCTTCAAAAATTCTTCTCTTTCTCGCCGAATTTTAAGTACGCGTTAAGTATATGTACCTTATCGAAAACGACTGTTTTTTTTTCTTTTCTTTTTTTT